CTCGCAGATCGTGTTTTATCGGGTCTAAAACCACTCGGCTACGCCTCGTGTTTTACACCCGATAAAACACTCCTGCTCGTTTATTAAACAGTACATATATAGTGAAGTATATATATAGTGAAGTATATATATAGTGAAGTATATATATAGTGAAGTATATATATAGTGAAGTATATGCATATTGTAAAATAAAGATATAGCTGATACGTTATCGAGTACAGGAAAAACTAATAAATAAATTATAAAATAACAAATTCATTCGCATTATAGTGCGAAAGGATATATAAGAGGTTAACCTTATCGATTATATTAAATATTTACTCAGTTGTTAATAATTTCATTTTTTAATTTTTAATGCTTCAATCCCTAATTAAAATTAGAAACGAAACTTACGTTGTGTTGTTATGTTAACTGGTGCACTGTATGGCCCAGGTCCAACACGTGTGTACGCCCTAACAGATATGCTGTACTGTGCACACAATGATAATCCATGAATCGTATAAGAGAAGCCATCTATTTTACCACTAGTATGGGCTTTTCCTGTGACTGCTTGGTTTCCTTTTCGCATCATAATCCATCTCACTTCGTAATTTATTACCAAACCATTTCTCAAGTGTTCAGGTACTTCATTCCAAGTAGCGGTGTAAGTCGTGGTATTGATTTTCAATATATGCAATGCTTCTGGAGCAGCTTCAGGCTCTAGAAACAATGTATTATTTTGTATTAATAAAAAATCATAAATAATATGAAATTAGAAAAAACTAGTCAACGTGTAATAGTCAAATAGACACATGCAAAACAAAAAACAATGGAATTAGGGTAAAATATCATTTAACCGGGTTTAGTGATTTCACTCTACTATATTTCATTAGTATTTCATAAGTACCACGCGGTCCACATATTCTCATCTTTGCATCATAATTACCGCGACCTAACATCTATTTCACCCCGGCCTGCTCTCAGTCTGACCTCTAGCTCGTTTCCCAACGAGGTCGGAAATTAATTTTTCCGAATTTAATGCCAAGGGTCTTTCGCGCGGAATAACCTCATTCCCAAGCACTATAACTTATCTATATTTCTATATCTTCATATATTTCATATGTACTTAAGAGGCAATGTCTGTAAAAATCAAACATAATCGAAAATCCGTGGCCAAGTTGAAAAAATCGATTTTTTTCATATTTGGTCCAAAGATGTAGAATACCATCCCAATAAACGTACTGATGTTCATTTTGAATAATTTCACTTTTATTTTGAGAAAATCGTGAAAATCGATTTTGGCCGTCGGTGCCCTCATTTCARCCTAAATCCGAGGTGAAAATGGTAGGTCTGAGAAAGGCGCTCGCGTTTAATAATGAAGCAAACTAGAGAAGATCTGTTTTTGGAATATGGTAAAGGAAAGATTAATGATTATTTTAAGCTAAAAAATGAATGGGGAAACGCGTTCTAATAAGCGAACAGGAACGTTTTGTAAACTACATTTTTCGGGTTCTCAAATATTCAAATTTCACCCYTAGTTTGCAAAGCGCATTTTCATGTGCACCGGGTGTTCAGATTTATCTGAAATTCCAGCCATATTTCCTTCGAATGTTCAGCAAAATCATATGTAAAATTCAGCTTGGGTTATTCAATGAGCGCTTTATACGAAACTCTCGAATTCAGAGAAATTTGCGTTGTTTGAGCTCGGCATCCGACGAAACCTTTTCGAGGCAGACATAAATATATCCTCAATATATTTTCTTGG